TTCCTCTTTCCCCCTTAATGTCTCTTTTCCTCTTCCCCCTTTAACATCTGCTTTCCTCTTCCCCCTTTATCATCTCTTTTCCTCTTTCCCTCTTTAACATTTCTTTTCCTCTTCCCCTGTCATCCTCCCTTTCCTCTTCTCCCTGTCACCATCTCTTTTTCCTCTTTTCTTGTCGCCCTCCCTTTTCCTCCTTACCCCCTTTAACGTACCTCTCCTCTTCCCCATTAACATCTCTTTCCTTTTCCCCTCTCCCCCCATCAACACCTGCTCCCCGTCCCCCCCGTGACCACACCTTTCCCCCCCAGAACAGGGATAACTACATCCGCTCCTGCAAGCTGCTCCCGGACGGCCGCACGCTGATCGTGGGGGGCGAGGCCAGCACGCTGACCATCTGGGACCTGGCGTCGCCCACGCCCCGCATCAAGGCCGAACTCACCTCCTCGGCCCCCGCCTGCTACGCCCTGGCCATCAGCCCCGACGCCAAAGTCTGCTTCTCCTGCTGCAGCGACGGCAACATCGCCGTGTGGGACCTGCACAACCAGACCCTCGTCAGGTGAGCGGCGTCTGCTCGGGGTCGGGGCCTTCCTGGGTGTGCTCTGCTGGGAGGAGCTCGGAGATCCTGGAATGGTTTGGGTTGGAAGCTCATCTTGAAGCTCATCTTGGTCCACTCCCCTGCCGTGGGCAGGGACACCTTCCACTAGCCCAGGTTGCTCCAAGCCCCGTCCAACCTGGCCTTGGGCACTTCCAGGGATGGGGCAGTCACAGTTGATATGGAATGATGGCAGGAACACTCTCTTGGTGCTGCACCATCCATCTTGTGGTGCTCATCTTTAAGTAAGCCCAGTACACTTCATGCTGCAGCTCCTCAGCAAAGGATGCTCCTGGATGGATTTCCAGGCGTGTTTGCTGTGGATAAGCCTCACAAATGACATCTGAGCACCTTGAACCAACCTCCATGCTTTTCTTAGCGTTCCCCATGCAGATTTCCATATTTTTTTCTGGTTCAAAGGCAATTCCAAGGCCACACAGATGGTGCCAGCTGCATAGACATCTCCCACGATGGTACGAAGTTGTGGACGGGGGGCCTGGACAACACGGTGCGTTCCTGGGACCTGCGGGAAGGGCGGCAGCTCCAGCAGCACGACTTCACCTCCCAGGTAACGGGCTGGGGACGACCTGGCCCCACTCTGCAGAGACCCCACGGAGGGGTTTGTCCCTCCATGGAAAGCAGGGCAGCTTGTTTGGCAGCTGGATCATGTGGGGCTGTGGGAGGGGGCTTTTCCTGCTGGGAAAATGGCCCTGTTGGCCCTGAGCGTGGCTGTTCCTGCTGTGTTTGGTGGAACCCAGGAGTGTTGGAGGCAGTAGGAGCTGTGGGGCTCCCTGGATCTGGTTTCAGCTTCTCTGTCCTCATTTCTCCATCCCTGCACAATCAGGCTGCCATTAGGAAGGCAGCACTTCCCATGGGATAGCTGTGGATGTAACAGGTTTCTGTGGGTGGAGTGGCTGCAGGGATCAGGATCCTGCCTCCTCCAGCAGACCCTCCCAGAGCCCTGATCCAGAGGGGCAAAGCTGGAATCTCAATTCCATTTGGCAAGTGCAGCAGCATCCAGGGGGCTGGAACCATCCAGGCATTCACAGCTCATGTGGCTGCTCCAAACACATGGATGTGCCTCTCCAAACCTGCTGCCCCAGTCTGGGGCTGCCCAGCAACCTCCACCCTTGCCGTAGATCCCAGAGTGGCTGGATTGGAAGGGACCTTGAAGCCCCTCTAGTTCCAGCCCTCCCTGGGGGGCTGTGGGCAGAGCTGGCGGGCGCAGCCCCCCCTGAGCATCCCCGTGTCCCACTTCCCACTGCAGATCTTCTCCCTGGGGTACTGCCCGACGGGCGAGTGGCTGGCAGTGGGCATGGAGAGCAGCAATGTGGAGGTGCTGCACCACACCAAGCCCGACAAGTACCAGCTGCACCTCCACGAGAGCTGTGTCCTCTCCCTCAAGTTCGCCTACTGTGGTAAGCGGCTCCCGCCCGAAGCTCTGTCCTTTTGGGGGTGGGTGGGGATCATGGAATGGTTGGGCTTGGGAGGGACCTTAATGAGCATCCACTCCCACCCCCTGCCATGGGCAGGGACACCTTCCACCAGACCAGGTTGCTCCAAGCCCCGTCCAGCCCAGCCTGGAACACTTCCAGGGATGGGAAACAGGGATACCTACGAGGAAGGGATGGTGTGTGGAACAGTGGGGGGGGCCGAACAAGGATGTTTCCAGTAGGATCCATCCCATGGATGATGCATTTGGGGGGTATCTCCATAAAACCACCCCAGCTGTGGTCGCCAGTGGCCACGTGGCATCGTGGGAGGTTGCAGGGAAGCAGCACCTGCCCTGTGTGACTGCTGGGATGTGTCCAATGGAGAGGGGCTGGACAAGCCTCTCTGGGGAATCTCCAGATTTTCCCATTTCTCCAGAATGGCCACTTTCTAAGGTCAAACAGCCAGAAGCCTGTGGGGCAGGGAGAGGTTGGCCCCGGGATCTGTCTGTAGGGGTGGCAATGGCAGTGTTTGTGCGACTGGTGACACCGTGTTTCCTGGGAACAGGGAAATGGTTTGTGAGCACTGGGAAAGACAACCTGCTCAACGCCTGGAGGACGCCCTACGGAGCGAGCATCTTCCAGGTAGGAGCCTCTTGGGAAGGGCAAGGAATGGGGGTTACACCCAGACCCCCTCTTGGTGTGATGCCTGGGGCTGCCAGCCCTGGAGAGAGGGAGGATCCTCTTGGGGTGGCCGGGTGGGTGCCCAGCCTGTGGGATGTGCTGATACCACCAGCGTGGAATGGCGCTTGGCGAGCCAGGGAAACCAAACTGACGGATGCTCTCCCCTCCTCCTTCCCCCTTTTCCCAGTCCAAGGAATCCTCGTCCGTCTTAAGTTGTGACATTTCAGCGGATGACAAGTACATCGTCACGGGCTCTGGTGACAAGAAGGCCACAGTCTACGAGGTCATCTACTGAGCGTGGAGTTTCTGGGAGGGCTGGCAGCTCCCGGCCCCGCAGGACTCGGGAAGCAGCGGGGGATGCCACGGGGTGGCCCAGGGACCGTGCCCGCTCCGAGGGGGCTCTGCCCGGCGTCCGCCACACACGGATTTATTTGGAGATCTGCGACTCTGGCACACGTTGGAGCCCTTAAACGGATGTTTCTTTGGTTTTTAGGGTCGTGGGGTTTCTTTTGATTTTTTTTTT